CTGTTATGTTAAACCTATATTAAAGTTTTTCTTCATTACCCATTCAAGCTGTCTCCAGCCATTATGATGCATGTTACTAAGTAGGTATGGAATTCAGTAGCAGAACATTACCAACATTACAAACCAAAACTAATTTGTTTGTTGTTAAGCACAAAGTTAACTGTGCTGTGCCCACCACGAGTATTGAAACCTGGATTTTAGTGATGTGTGCCCCAAAACTAATCTTTATGAAGATATAAAATAATAAATAAGAATTTAACTGCAAACATGAATCGTAAAAAAACAACAACTAAAATATTAGTTCTGTGATGCAAATAAAATAATATGTTAACCATACTGTGAAGTGTATCTAACACAATTACTTACACTTCCGTCACTTAGTAAAACACATGAAGCAAGTAGTGTAAACGTAGATAAATCAGATTTCCAAGTTTCTTTTACTGTGAAAAATACATAGTTGAAGATCATTGCTAATGTCAGATTATTATAGAAAAACCTAGTATAAAAACTTCCCTTAGAAAGAAAGATTGATTATTTTAGAGCAAAGCCATATTGGGCTGGACATCCACAGGGAATCGAACCACAGATTTTAGCATTGCAAACCTGTAGACTTACCGCTGTCCCACCAGGAGACAGATTATAGAATATAAAGAAAATTGTCAGTCGTTGTGTCTACTCAACTTTCACTTTATTACTACAAGATGTAGATAACATATCTACACTTCTAGTAGTAATATGTCGAGTCATTCTTTATTGGTGCAATACGGGTTTCCAGCAAATAGTGTGTGCACACAATGCCATGTTCAGTCTCACCAGGGGATCACGTAATGGATACATCTGTTGGTCTAATTACAAGAAGCATAGCAAATGAGACTGTTCGCTGAATGAGCCATTCATCCAAGCCTGCAGTCTGTTTGTTTGTTACGGATTTCGCGCAAAGCTACACGAGGGCTGTCTGCGCTAGCCGTCCCTAATTTAGCAGTGTAAGACTGGAGGGAAGGCAGCTAGTCATCACCACCCACCGCCAACTCTTGGGCTAATCTTTTACCAACGAATAGTGGTATTATATCGTCCCCACGGCTGAAAGGCGAGCACGTTTGGTGTGACTGGGATTCGAACCCGCGCCCCGCAGATTGCGAGTCGAGCGCCCTAATCACCTGGCCATGCCGGGCCAGCCTGCAATCAAGTGTACTTCTTAAATCTTCTGTTAGCGGATGGTTAAAAGAACAAGAGAGTGCTAGGAGCCACAGATGTAATTGTTGTAGGCTATGTTTTATTATTGTTGTTATTTAGATATTTATATTATTTTTGGCCAGAGAAAGTTTTAATGTCACGTGAGGATGGAGATGTTTCATATCTGGAATTTTCATTAAAGTGTAGCCTATTTAGGAAACGATTTGAGCTGTGTAAAAATCGAGTTACAACAGATATTGTAACTTAATGATATTGTAATTTAATGAGTTTGTTACAGTGGTGGATTGATTACAGAGTTAATACGATTGTTAGTCGGTCGTTTGTTACTTCAGTTTTGTGAATATTGTTGCGTCATCGAGATCATGTGATTCTCACG